TCCTTTTATTGCTAATGTATTTACAGAAAGATTTTTATAACTATTCTATGATTCTATGATCTAATAAAGGGTGGAAATTCTCCTTAGCCCTCCTTTTATTGCTAATGTATTTACAGAAAGATTTTTAATTGCCTTTTACAGCAGCAGCCAGATTAATTTCTAGTTGGGCTTTGGCCCTTCTAATTGTCTCCCTAGTTCATATCCTTCAAGAGAGAATCTGAAGAGAGGGTGACCATACTGACCTCAAACATTGTGTGTTCTGATCAAAGCGTATCATACAGTTGTGGGAAGCCTTCATAATACGTGGAACCACAGCAGTAATTCTCTAAGCAGCAATTTTTAGTCACCTATGAAATCAGAGATGTTTTGTAATAAACAAACTCATTATGTATTAAATACAGCATAATTACCAAATAGAAATGTCACTGGTGTTCTCTTAATAAAGAATACCTCTCCTGAATTGTAACAGGTGCCTTCATTGCTTTTTGAGTCAAAGGGGGAGATAAGAAATTGGAACTTTAAAATATCAACCTCTATCATGGCTCCTGCATGGCCACTTAATGATACAATCTGGTTTTGGGTTTTTTTTGTTTGTCTGTTTTGCTACAGGATTAGAACAAAGATGGACAGATAAGAAGAGTATTGAGCATCTCCAAGGAACCAGAAACCAATATGACAGAAAATACGAGATCTCTCAGAAAATTTTTTCTTTATAAGTGTCTGTTTGCATTAACTTTTTGGACCCATGTCAACCTAGCTGTGGCAAATGAACTCTATAGATCTCTTTTCAACAATTTTCCAGAAGATGGTTTTGACAAAAAGATCCAGAGACTGCCACTCCTGTATACAAACAGTCATCAGGCCAAAGATAATTTTGACTGGGTTGTGATACAAAATACTACAGAAAGCCTGTCATTGTCAGAAATCACAAATAACAATGCACAAAAATTAAAGACTTTAGTATCCAGTTTCAAACAAGGCTCCAGGTTACAAAATCTGACACTGACAAATGTGTCGGTGGACTGGCTTGTTCTTATTGCCATTTTTCAGACGGTATGGAAATCATCCGTTGAATACTTAAGCATGAACAGTGTAACGGCATTGTCGGACATCGAAAGCTATGACTTTGACTACTCAGGTACCTCTATGAAAGCACTGACAATGAAGAAGTTTTTAATCACAGATCTGTACTTCTCACAGGATGACCTATACAAAATATTTGCAAATATGAATATTGAAGCCTTGACAGTAGCGGAATCAGAGATGATACATATGCTGTGCCCTTCATCTGACAGTCTCTTTAGATATTTAAATTTTTTAAAGAATGATTTAACAGATCTTCTTTTTCAAAAATGTGACAAATTAATTCAACTGGAGACATTAATCTTGCAGAAGAATAAATTTGAGAGCCTTCCCATG